CATTATGGAACTAAGAAAAAACTGACAAAAAACACCTCAAAAGGAACTCTTTGTAAACTTACGGTTTATCAGGTAATGATAAACATAAAATGTCATTTCCTTGACTCTGGGCTTCCATTTTCTCTGAAAGGGAGTCAAACATAAACAAATTCAGGTTTCCCAGAACTCCAGAGCAGCTAACATTATCTGACGGGAAGGGACTTGCCTTTGACTGCAAAAGGAGTCCGTGGTGTGCCTATGTAGCTGACTCCTGCTTCAAAAGTGACATCGTTGATGGTCTCTGAGTAAAGAGGGAAACAGCACAGTTAATGAAAAGCCAGGAAGAGACAAACATCAAAGTCACTTGAGCAAGGTCAGTTACCGAATTTCTGCTATGGTTTCATTCAGTCTCTTACATCAGTACCAGAGCAACTGTCAAATCCAGCAGCCCTTTCTTTCAGTCAGGCTTCAATTTCTGTTACCTTTTTATAGGATGACAGTGTTGAAGACACAGTCCTCCTTCTTCATGTCCATGGTCTCCTGAGTTCCTTTCTCTGCCACTCCCTGTCTTAGACTGCTTTGCTGGCCCCTGAGCACCCACTGCTCACTGTCTGGCTTCTTGCTCACTCCATGTCTTCAGTTGCTGCCTGTATGCCAGGGATCCCCACCTCCAGCTCAGACCTTCCTCCTCAGTCCTCCATTTGCTACTGCACTTCACCTGAATTCCCTGAAGATGCTTCACCAACTCATTCCCTCCGCTCCTCAACATGTTCCTTCTGTATTCCCACCCACGTCAGTGCTCTATCCAAGCTGGAAATGCCAGGCATCATTAGCTCCTTCTGCACATCTGATCACTCAGTCCCGTCACTGCCATCTTCCTACTATATCTGCATTCTCTAAAGTCTTTGCTCATCTCACCCTTGATCTATCACAGTGGTCTCCCACTTAGGGCCTCCCCTTCCAGTTCACCCTTGGCAGGCAGGAGAGCAGAGTGTAGGAATCAGACTCTGAATCAGACTCTGGGTTTGAATTCTGGGCCTCTTACTAATTGTAGAAACTACTCTAAGACCCTCAAGTTTCTTTACCTCTAAAATGGGATACAAGTATACTGACCTCCGGGGAGTTGTCAGGATTAAATGAAATCATTTATGTTAAGTCCTTAACATAATACTTGGTACAAAGTTAAGTGCTAACTATTATAATTTATTAGCTATTTTCCCCTATGTCACTTAGAGGAAAATTTGTTTAAAGATCTGGTAAGGTGACTGCCCTGCTCAAATATCCTGATGGCTCAGCATTTAGAGGAGGGTCAAGACTCCAGCCTCTGTCTGAGCTGGGCAACAAAGCCTCTGTGCGAGCCGGCCCCATGCCACCTTCACAAACCCGCCTTCATCCACAAGCTGCGGGCCACCAGTGTCCAATTATCACTGTTCTCTGAGCAGGCCCTGGTCTGTCACACCTGGATCTACACAGGCAGTTCCTTCTCCCTGAGCCAACTACAACATAACCACTCCTTTGAGATCTGGGTGGTGACACCTCTCCCAGTGACTTGCTCCTATTTTATGTCCTGTACCATTTTGCATGAGCTGTTATCACACTTGCAGAACAGAGCACAGGCTTAATAGCTGGTTGCTGACAGTCGTGGCAAAGTCTGCCATGCCCCTTCTGTAAGACCACTTGTGAAGTAAGCCGTATCGTTCTTACCTTTCTCTCCTACACTGTAACCTTCTTAGGAGTACCGATTAGATCTTTCTAGTTTGTTTTAAAGTCT